ACTACTACTAATGCTGCTACTACTACTAATGCTGCTACTACTAACACCACTACTACTACTAACCCCACTACTACTACTAATGCTGCTACTACTAACCCCACTACTACTACTACTAATGCTGCTACTACTAACACCACTACTACTACTACTAATGCTGCTACTACTAACACCACTACTACTACTACTAATGCTGCTACTACTAACACCACTACTACTACTACTAATGCTGCTACTACTAACACCACTACTACTACTACTAATGCTGCTACTACTAACCCCACTACTACTACTAATGCTGCTACTACTAACACCACTACTACTACTAACCCCACTACTACTACTAATGCTGCTACTACTAACACCACTACTACTACTAATGCTGCTACTACTAACACTACTACTACTACTACTAATGCTGCTACTACTAACACCACTACTACTACTAACCCCACTACTACTACTAACTGCTACTACTAACTACTACTACTACTACTACTAATGCTGCTACTACTAACACCACTACTACTACTAACCCCACTACTACTACTAATGCTGCTACTACTAACACCACTACTACTACTAACCCCACTACTACTACTAACCCCACTACTACTACTAACACCACTACTACTACTAATGCTGCTACTACTAACACCACTACTACTACTACTACTACTACTAATGCTGCTACTACTAACCCCACTACTACTACTAATGCTGCTACTACTAACACCACTACTACTACTGATGCTGCTACTACTAACCCCACTACTACTACTAATGCTGCTACTACTAACCACACTACTACTACTGCTGCTGCTACTACTAACCCCACTACTGCTGCTGCTACTACTACTTCTGCTGCTGCTGCTGCTACTACTACTACTATTACTACTGCGGCGGCGGCGGCTACTACTACTACGACTACAATTACCACTTCTACCATCACTTCTACGATCATTATTATATTCTACGCCGTTATTCTCACAAAATCGCCACACGGCCTAAATTACCACATCACAACATACCACCACACAACACTGCCATCAGGCATACACGACACACACATAATCACTGTGAACAATTCGAACTGTCTCACAAATACACTGTTAGCTACACATCTGGTTAAATCCGTGTCGCCAAACACTTCATTAACTGCATCGTTCGGGGAGGGGGGCAGAGATGGAGGCGAAGGTAGCTCCCAAAGTTTCAACAATAAAACAGATAGATAGAGGACGACTTAACCATTGTGTGGCTTGTGTGTCGTCACAGCTATGAGTAATTGTGGGCCTGGCCTTACGAATCTGCTACCGAGATCCCTACATGAATTAAGTGCAGTGTGTAGTTTCAATGAGTGCGACAAATGGGAGAAGATAGGGAATTAGGAAATGAATACTTTGGGGAGCCAGAGGATGAAAACGAAACAGGAAATGAGTATGTACAGTGGTGTATCACGTGAGCACTGGGTGCATGCTGTCAGAGGCGCCAACAGAGAAATCACTGGGGGGTGGGGGGGGGGGCTGAGCTCCCATATAATTTTCCTAGGACCTCAAGAGGCTTAAAACTCCTTCCATCTAAAGCAGTCGTTACCCTGAATTCTTCTATGCCAAGGTGTTTAGCTTAAAAGCAAAACACATAATGTGGCCGTAAAGAGTTCAACATAGACACTAAGAGATGTAAGAAGTTAAATTACGTAGTTATCTTGACGATAAAGACTAATACAGTGCAGATCTGATAAGGAGAACTCACTAGGGACCCAAGAAAACAGTTCTTCCTACCACAAATTCCTCGTATCCAGCTAAGAATTCAAGCATATGGTAACTGAAGGGGATAAACAAAGTGTTCTTCACAACACAAGTTCGCCACATCCGAGACCGCCTTAAGCGGTCTGCACTAAAAAAACATTCTTCTGCGACAGAAGACAGTTAGTAATTAGTATTATCTCTGGAATACTCCAGAAACGCACGGTGAGTTGTTTGGGGATGACAGCTGAGCCTTGTTTAAGTGGACAATAATAAAAACATTAATGTGCTGAGTGGCAAATGACATGGTGAGTTGTTTGGGATTGACAGAGTTAGACTTTTTTTTAAATGTACTGATGGTCAAAAAATACGACAAGTTGTTTGTGGCTGACATAGTTAAGACTCGTTTAAGTGCACAATAATAATTTTTATGATGTGCTGAAAGGCAAATAAAATATTTTTGAAAAAATAGTAAATGTATAAAAATACTTCAAAGAAGAACGTCTATCTATGGGGCGGGAAGGGAGAAAAGGGGGGGGGGGAGTAACTTCCTGTACATTATCTAGGCAGGAAGGAAAAGCCTCAACTCCGTGAAAATTATGAGGGGGGGGGGGGCTCTCAATGTGCCTTAACCCCCCCCCCCCCTTTTTTTTCAACCTGTTCCGGCGCCAATGCACACTGGCAGGCAGAAGGTGACAACAGAAACAGACGATGAGCTGGATGGACTGCGGTACTCGCACACTTGTAGCGGATACAGGATCTTCAGTGTTTAAACTCCGTTTCTCCCCAGTCAGCCTGTCGCGACGCTGGTCGCCGATTCCCACTTGATGGCAACGGGTTGTGCCCACAATTGATTCCACTGCCGTGCCAGCGAAAACCACATCACATGCTCACCACCACCCCCACGGGAAACGGTCAGTAGTCTCGACAAAACCAGCCACAGGCACACGAGTTAAACGCACAAGATAGCCGCCAGAGTGTTAACACCAAATGTATGCCACCAGAAGTGCAGCTCATTGTCAAACGAAGCAGCAGTGGTTACTTCACAATAGACCAGAATATGTTAAAATAAAAACAGTAATATATAAGTAATTATTTCATGTATTCTTGTTTGCAAACTAATTTTGAATTGATAATCGACATCATAGTACTCAGGACACTCCCATACGTGCTTCGTCCCCCATCTTCAGCAGCAAGCGAAGAGTTTTAATTCCGATGTTACAGTAACTGGTTGTACATCCGTTCTCGCCTTTCCCTTGAATGCTAAGGGTCTGCCAGATCCCCCGGTAGCTCCACTTACCGCCATTCTCCTCAGACCATAATAATCTATGTGTGCATCCGCACTGTTCACTGGCTCCCAAACGGTCCTCACAACGTCTAGCTTGTCTTACAACAATTCACCACAAAGTGGTGCAGAACCGGCCAGTTTATCTGCCTGCTCGTTTACCAACACGCCTTGACTGTAACTATATAAATGTACGCTTGTGTCCTATGCTGATAAAGGTTTTCTAGCTGAAACGTTCACTGTATCGTTCGTGGCTGTGGTAATGTGAAGATGGCCAACTCAGATTGGCATTATATAATTTTTTTTTTATTTTTTTTTTTTTGTAACGATAAAATAACCAGTGACAATAAAGTTTTTTTTTTAAAACTAGCAGGACAGGGTTAGTAACAAAGAATGACGAAATAACAAAATTAAAAAAAGAAGTTTAGAGAAAAGAGAGGCACAAAGACAACATGTGGACCGTTCGAGCAAAGTCTTTACCTACTAATAAAACGACAGCGAACACGGAAACCCCAACAGTTTATGTTCACCATCTCCCTATCAAACTGGTTTCATTTTCTCCTCTTCTCCTTTCTTCTTCTTCCTTCTACTTCTTCTTCTTCCTCCTCCTCTTCATCCTCTTCGTTCATTACAAGTCTCTGAGGTTTACTACTGCAGATATCAACGGCCCGCACATATCTCTGTGACTCGCTTTCTCATTCCACTTGGTGACTCAAAGTGTTTTAAGTCCGCATTATATTATCTATCCGCCGTCTTCTTGCTCTACTCCTAATCAATTCCACTGTTTGTGTAGTTTTTGTCTTATTCGCCGTCACGGGGATTATTTATTCAACAGACCCGGTTTACGCAGTTTTGTGTTGTTTCTGAAGTAAAGCATTCAAGTTTGGTTTCTAGATAAAGACTTTAGTCGAAACGTCCGTTTTTTTTTTTTTTCTCAACTTGTCTCAAGAATTCTTCGTACCACAGCATACAGCCCTTATTGTGAGTTTAAGTAATGGCAGTATTTTATTGGCTGTTGTACAGTTTCACTATCAAGAAAACCATTATTACGAGAGATGATAAAATGCTGGGCTGAACTCCAAGTCAGTAATCGAGAAAGTTGCATGCAATAGAGTGGAGTAGAGGAATCAAATGAGAGAGCCTTATTTGACGTCTAACGACACACAAAGGATGATAATAGTGTCACTTGCCAATGTGAGATTCAGTAGTTTGCCCTCGCCTTATAAACTTCCTTTATTTCACATGACTCAATGTTTCTACTGTCAAGGCGGATTAGAAATATCTCTAAGAGAGAACTCCACTCACAGATAAGTGATTTTTGTGTATTCTTGTCTGTAATTCTATCCTTGTTCGTTTGTGTTATGTACCAGTTAAGGCTTTCTTGCCGCAACCGTCATTTGTCGTTCGTGATTGTGACAGAGCGAAGCTGGCCAGTTCTGTTTCTCGTCTGGCTAGAAATCTTTCCATGGTGCTTTATCAACGGTACGGTGCTTATACACGGTCACCACCATATAGACCGACGGGCCGAGAACGGGTCATAGTTCAGTCTCACACGATCACCAGATGAAGGTCTGTTCTCGGGCAACTACAGTTACCACTTCACAGCAAACGTTTCGCACCCTAGTAGCTCCGTTCCTGTGCCAATGAGAACCACACAAAATGCCCATCACTGTCCCTTGTATAACAAAACAACAATTATAGTCTGCGGTCTTAGCAAATCCATCAGCATACACACGCAATAAATGCATAAGGCAGCTGTCAGAAGTCCCAACACAAACAGTCCAACACTAGAAATGCAGTTCACGGTCGATGGAAGCAGCCATTACAACAGACCAGCAGTTGCACACGCAATTAATCGCATAAGGCTGCACAACAAATTCCTGGGATCTGTGTTCTGCTTCAATTACAGCGGAACAAAATCACGATGGAACCAGACAACAAATCACCGAGTCAACAATACAGACAAGACTTACCACAATCATTTCCGAGGCCTCAAGGGTCAGACAGTCACTGGTCCTTCGTATACAGCCTTGACTTCGACGCCCAAAACTAAAGATGGGGAAAACAAAGATATCGGTCAATAATTGTTTCCCGAGACCACATGGAACTCGTGGAGAACAGCCACATGAACAAAGACAATATTCAAATTTACAATGTCTAGGTATGGTGGTAGCAGCAAGCAGCAGCAGCAAGCAGCGGCAAACAGCAGCAGCAGTAGCAGCAAGCAGCAGCAGCAAAGCAGCAGCAGTATTAGCAGCAGCAGTAGTAGTAGCAGCAGCAGCAGTAAAAGTAGTAGTAATAGTAGTAACAGCAGCAGCAGTAGCAGTAGTAGTAGTAGTAGTTGTTGTAGCAGTAGTAGTAGCAGCAGTAGTAGTAGTAAAAGTAGTAGTAGCATCAGCAGTTGTAGTAGTAGTAGCAGCAGCAGTAGTAGTAGTAGCAGAACCAGCAGCAGTAGTAGTAATAGTAGCAGCAGTAGTAGTAGTAGTAGTAGTAGTAGCAGCAGCAGCAGCAGCAGCAGAAGTAGTAATAGTAGTAGTAGTAGTAGTAGTAGTAGCAGCAGCAGCAGCAGCAGCAGTAGCAGTAGTAGTAGTAGTAGTAGTAGCAGCAGCAGCAGCAGCAGCAGCAGCAGTAGTAGTAGTAGTAGTAGTAGTAGTAGTAGCAGCAGCAGCAGCAGTAGTAGTAGTAGTAGTAGTAGCAGCAGCAGCAGCAGTAGCGGTAGTAGTAGTAGTAGTAGTAGTAGTAGTAGTAGTAGTAGTAGCAGCAGCAGCAGCAGCAGCAGCAGCAGCAGCAGCAGCAGCAGCAGCAGTAGCAGTAGTAGTAGTAGTCAGGGTTCATAGCCAAATTTACCAATCAATTTCAAGGCTTTTCAAGGTCTTTTTCAAGGTCTCCTTAGTTTTTTTCAAGGTTGTCTCGGTGTAATACTGAAACAAGATTTTTGCCTTGTTCAAGGGTGTACTGAGCACACAAGGTACTTCATTTGTGCCACATGTGTTGGTATACCAGCACAGATATCATCATCATGTAGCATTTCCTTTGTCCTGACAAAAAAAAACTCGGTCTCTCACCAGCTCTCCCGCCTCATGTACTTTTTTATACTCAAGGAGTCACTTATATCCTGTGCCCATCTTCGTGTTGGTCGGCCCCTGAGCTTGATATAGTGTTTGAAATTTTTTTTTAGGGCTTGGTGGTAGAGGGCAGCAAACTGAAGTCCTGTCTGTTCTGGACCTGGTACCTGGGAGGGTTAGGGGAGAGAGAGAGAGTCATGAAGAGAGAGGAAGACACATGCTGAGGTAGGCTGGGAGAGACAGTGTAAAGATGGACAGATGGAGGTAGAGAAAAGAAGGAAAAGAAGTCTGGGGAAGGAGGAAAAAATGAGAGGGAGGGATGGAGACATGATGAGGAAAAGTGGGGAAGGGACAGCGAAAGACAGAGAGGGAGACAAATACAGAAAGAGGGAATGCAGATACAGAGATGGGCATATGAAAAGAGAAGGAAAAAGGGAACGAAACAGAGATATGGAAGGAGGAAAATATGACAAAGAGTTGAAAGAAGGGAGACAGAGGGAGAGAGAACGGACAGGGTGAGAAGCAGATGCAAGCAGAGAGAGATGTAGACATAAAGGAGAGAGAGACAAAGGGACAGCACAGAGAGGCAAGCAGACAGAGGGAGAGAACCAAAGAAAGAGAAAAAAGGCAGAACAGGAGAATGGAGGGAGGTATACAAAGAGGAAGTGATGAAGGGAGGCAAACAGACAAAGCAAGAGAGAGAGAGAGAGGTGGGTAAGGAAGGCAGTGACAAACACAGATTAAGAGAGAGGGGCAGGAAGGGAGACAAGATACATCAAAGAAAAAAAACAGCCACCTACTCCCCCCCCCCACCCCCCACACAATTTCAAGTGTAGTGGACACAACCACTAGGAAAAGAGTTATGGGGCAAAAAAATGTAGATGAACCAGTAAAAAAATAGGGGGGGGGGGAGAGAATGAGAGAGGGGAGCGGGTAAGGAAATCTAGAGAAAATGAAAAGACAGGATGGAGAGGAGACAAAGAAGAGATGGGACAGGAGAAAGGGCAAGGAAAGGAAGAGAGGAAGAATGGAGAGAGAAAGGAGAATAGTAGAAGATCAAAGGAAAGAGAAGTGGTGAGAGAAGAAAGGTAAGACACGGTTGTGGGGTGGGGGTGGGGGGGGGGGTGTAAGAACAATGAGTGCCAAAAATAGAATTAGGAAATCTCTAAGTGAGGCCACTTTTCCGGTTCCTACCATCTCCCAATGTGAATGTGGCCGTGGTCAAAAAAACAACAGTGCTAACCCCTACTGCCCCTTGCTTGTCCTATCTCTGTGTGTGACAACAATAATTCAATTTCTTACACTTAAGGCTGGTGACCTGAGAGCCAAGGTCATTTTATGAAGAAAAAAAAAGTCCAGGGGATCCCAACCCACCACTGGTAGAAAATAGAGAAGTTTACCCACACATATAAATAGGTCAGACACATAAATAGGTCAGGGCAGCAGTGGACTTCGTTTTATTTTCTGGTTTTCTAATTACAGAAAGGAGGGGAGAGAGGAGGTGGTGGAAAGTGGTGTAGAAGGCTGAGGTGGTAAGGGTGAGACAGAGGAGGTGAGAGAATAAAGTTTAAGAAAATAAAGTGGGAATGAGACAGGGAGAGAAAGAAGGGAGTAAGAAATAAGATGAGATATAGAGGGAAGAAGGTAGCAGGAATGGGTGCACTCCCTCCCCTAGGTGTCATCAATGTGGGAGGAGAGAAAAAAAAAGGGGGGGGGGGGTGACGGCAAATGTGTTTTTAAAAAGTACACATATTTAATGTGTGGGAGGGGGGAATGGTGGACATGAAATGTTCTGCACTAGGCAACACATAACCTTCTACACCAACTGAAGGTATGGAGAAAGAAAGAGAGAGAGAGAGAGGGAGTGAGGGAGAGTGGCAAATACAAAGAGAAAGAGAGAGAGGAAAGCAGTGACACAGACAGGCAGAGAGTGAGGAACAGGTAGGACAAAATGTGAGGGGGCGGGAAGGGAGATGGACAGAGATTAAGGCCGCTAGGAAAACAAACACATCAAAAGAAAATATCCACCATGTTCACACAGAATGCCCCCCCCCCCCCCCAATACAACTTCCTGTGTACTTGAGTTGCTAGGAAGAGTTATGGAGCCGCACATTTACTAAACATTTAAACAAGAAATAAAATAGGAAAAAGGGGGAGAGGGAACAGGAAATGAGAGAGTCAATGGAAAGATAGAGAGAAAGAGAAGAAGATAAAGATCAGAAGGGAGGGTTAGAGACAATGCAGGTGACGGGAAGGAAGGAGCAATAGGTAGAAGAGTGAAAGAGGGAGGGAAGAGAGAGAGGGGTGAGACAACAGATCTCGGGGAATTACAATACTGATCGCCAAACACACTGTAAAGATAAATCCAGGCCAAAAATAGAACTGGGAAATCCAGCTGCAGTCACTTTGCTTAGCCTCAATGCCATCTCTAATTAATAGAGAAGGCCGTGATTAGCCCCCACCACGGCGACTCTATTTATAAATACAACTGAACCGAGCCCCACCATCTCCCAATGTAATCCTTTCTAGAAACCACGGCCATAAACGATTTTTACTGTTCATTCTGCCGGACTTGCTAGAAACAAAGGCACACACACACGCGCGAGACGGAATCTGCTACTTCCCGCCCCATGCCACACCGCTGCTGTCTGCATGTATTCATGATCTGCAACACAGCCCGCCCCTTCCCTGGCCTTTAACAAGCCATTTCGGCTGAAAATAGCCAATAATCAGCTGCCCTCACACCTGAAACGACCATACAACGAAAGTAGCCAAAAACTAGCCAAATGGCCAAAAAAGCCAAAATGGCTCTCCAAAATTGCCTGTGCTGAGAAACACAGGATTTCTGACGATTTCATTGCCGCGGTCAAAATTCACGGCTTTTCAAGGCCGGAATGTCTTTTATAAGCTAAAATTCACGGTTCAAGGTCAACGAAAAAAATCCCGGTAATTTCCCGATTTCCCGGTCCACTACGAACCCTGAGTAGTAGTAGTAGTAGTAGTAGTAGTAGTAGTAGTAGTAGTAGTAGTAGTAGTAGTAGTAGTAGTAGTAGTAGTAGTAGTAGCAGCAGCAGTAGTAGTAGTAGTAGTAGCAGCAGTAGCAGTAGTAGTAGTAGTAGTAGTAGTAGTAGCAGCAGCAGTAGTAGTAGTAGCAGCAGCAGCCCTCTAAGAAGCATGACGTCGCATGCATCTGCCTGAGAGGCGAGGAACCAGCAGTCTGCGTACATTTATGCCATATCTGTAAAACGGATGTGCGTGTAAAATGTAAAACTAAAGTTCTGGACCTCGATCAAAGTCCAGAAGTGGACGAATAACCAGGAATTTCAGTCAGAGATTTCAGCCAGTGGACGCCAAAATAAAAATTTAAAATCACAATAAACCAGACTGGCCTGCCCCCTCCCCCTTTTCTATCTCTGTCTGTCTGTCTCTCTCTCTCTCTCTCTCTCTCTCTCTCTCTCTCTCTCTCTCTCTCTCTCTCTGTGTGTGTGTATGTATGTGTGTGTGTGACTGCCTATTTCTGTCTGTTTATGTTTCTATCGATCTATCTATCTCATATTATGAAACAACTGAAAATAACTATACGGGTAAATTGCAGAGGCGTAGTAACCAGTGAAAATATCATTGCTTTTATCATCATCCTGCAATAAACATAACTGACTGTGTGTTGTGTGTGTACACGCGCGCGAGTGCGTGCGTGCAGAAACATCGCCGACATATTTAGTAAACTGTTAATGATTGTGTCAGAAATGTCGTACACACACATACAACTGAAGAAATTACCATTCGGGTAATACAGACAAAATGGAGATAACCCATGGTTACATCTGCGATCGAATAATATCAAGAGTTAATAGACTTGGACTAAATCAAGAGCAAAGAAATTTTGCAGATCGTATGCACTTTGGTGTAGCCGTTGGGGCTGTTCTAGTTATAACTTTTATTAGAAACTGAAAAGGGTGTCTTTTCATGTTTGTCCTGTCGGTT